TATAGACCTTGTATCGCTCGTGTCCAGGGAACGTAGTGGTGACGCCAAGGTTCTGAAGACAGCCGACACCAACTAGGTTCCTGGACAACGAGGGGATGTGCAAACCTGCAAGAGAGCCCGAGAGGACTGCCAGACAGGGAAGGGTAGTGGAGCTACGTACGACTATCAGACCTAAGGAGGGGTCAGGAAGCGCTATAGCAGCAGGGGCAGCAAGCGGCGTGAGCGAAGTGTGGTCGCGGAAGAAGGAGGTAGACGCTCTAGAGTCAAGTGTGAAAGAGAGCGAAGCAGTAGCGTCTGCAGTAGCGACAGCTGGCGGGGGGGCTAGGGTAGAGCCTAAGCTAAACCAGGCAGGAGGCCCTATGCCTGACGCAGCAAAGGAACCTAGACTACACATAGGAGGCACATCTACACTAGGCAACACATGGTAATAAGATCTGGCACACTAGATTCATCAGCATACATGATATACATAGCAATCATAATCTGATCCATGTCAAGCTCAAAGACAGACACACGGCGGCGGGCCAGTGCGTACCAGTCAGGAGGGTCCGAGGTAGGACCAAAACGGAGACGGTAGAGGTCGTCGAGGTGGCGGTAGCAGCGGGTGGCGGTGTGACATGGACGGTCGTAGACGGTGCCACGGCGGGGGCCGGTCTGAAGCTGGTACTGGCAGGTGGCCACACTGGAGCCGCCACCCGACACCGAGCTGCGCGGGGTACCACTACGACGACCACCACCAGCGCCACCAGGCCACCACGGCGGAGGGGTTCCCCACGGCGGCTGCAGCTGGTGCCAGCTCAGAGGGGAAGCCAAGGTGGGCTGGCGGCTACGGACATCTGGCGGGCGGGGGGGCTGGCTGCAATGGGCGGTCAGCAGCGGCAGGCGGCTGGCGGCAGCGGGCGGCCAGCGGTGACGGACAGGGGCTAGTGGCAGCGGGCAGTCAGCGGGGACGAGCGGTTGGCGGTAACGGACAGCTGGCGGCGACTGCCGGCCAGCGGCTATGGGCGGCTGGTGGCAGGGGGCAGCCAGCAGCGACGGGTGGCTGGCGGCAGCGGGCGACTGACGGCCCATGGATAAACTCAAGAAGAATTTATCTTGCACAACCAAGACCAAGAGCTCAAGATTTCAAGCCCAAGGGACGCGGATAAATATTAAATAGTGAAAATAGTAACGCTACTTCGTATAGTGTTACATTTCACTTGGTGTAGCCCCTTGGAGGGTTTGTTTCGAGACTCTTCATGTTTGGGGACTCTGTGGTGGTGTACCACCAACATGGACCTCGGCTCTTGGGGTATGTAGAGGCTGGGAACCATCTCCATCTCGAACTCTTCTTGCTAAGTTTGTACTCCTAAGACTATAGTGGCTACTGTACCTCCTGCCAGTCAAACCGCCATAGCGTCGTCAAATCTTCATGGAAGTTTATGATTCAACTTGCTGCTGATAGGCGACAGCAACATGCTCCAGATCCAATTCACAGCTTACCGTTTAATTCACAGATCAGATCGGCATCAATATTTGAATCTGTCTAACGGAATTCTGACTGTGCACAATTTCTCTCATTTTAGGCACATCTGAGCCTATTGTGATTATAACAAGTGGTATCAGAGCCCCTTGGAGCCATTTCGACCATGCCTAGATCTGGGGAAGCAGTTGGCAGAGGTGCTGGAGGCAGAGAAGACGCCCAATTACAAGGCCAACACCAAGATCCACCCATTGCTCCCGTGCAACCTAGCCTTGGCCCCTCTAGGGATGAGCCTAGAGTGTTTGGCCTTGACAAGTTCAACGGGGACAACTTTGCTGAGTGGTCCTTCAAGATGGAGAACATCTTTGACCACTATGATCTGCTGGAGGTGATGGAAGGAACAGAGAAGCGCCCCGAGAACGACCCGGAGAAGAGCACGTGGGTGCGGAAGAGTGCACAAGGCTACCTTCTACTTGGGCAAGCGTTGGGGAGCAGCCAAATCCGTCACATCAAGCCTTTTCAGCGTGAACCAGCAAAGGGACCAAAGGCATGGGATGCTCTCAAGGGTGTACACGCTCCTGCAACAGAGGCGGTGGCTGTGGTCTTGGAGCGGCAAATGGCGGCACTTCGAATTGACGAAGACGAACCGGTGGAGGAAGGAGTGCAGAAATTCTTCGACTTGTTGACACGGCTCGAAGGAGATGAGCTGAACTACAGTGACCTTCAAAATAAGACCAAGCTGCTGGCCTTACTTCCGGACTCGTGGTCCTCGCTCATCATCAACCTAAATTGAGATCTGCCCTGCCTCTCGCTCGAAGATGTGAAGTGGGAAATCTTGCAAGAAGATTTCCGCCGTCGTCAATTGGCGGGTCCCGTTGGAGCCGGAGTTGCAAGCATGGGCCGTGGGCACGGCCGTGGAAGGGGCAGAGGGCGAGGAGGCAGATTTGGAAGCAGCTACTTCAATGGAGGCCGTGGTAATGGAGGATATGGCAGCAACAACAACAACAATGGCTACGGGCGTTAGCGCGGTCGATTTGA